CCGGCCGTCCTCCTTCTGTCTTCGGGTTGTTTGTTTATTTGTTTTCGCTGCGCTTTCGTCCCCTTATCTCCCTGGCACACGGCGGGCAGCGGCGCCTCCCGCCGGCGGGGGACTCGACGGCCCGCAGAGCCGGGCGGGCTGCGGGGAAGGGGGCCTGCGTCCTCCTGACCCCACTCCGTCCCCTTGCAGTCCCCCGTCCTCCTCCTCCTCCTGTCTCCGTCTCTCCTGCCCCGCTCCCTTCTACCTGACCCCTCATTCCCCCCTGCACCTCTTCCCCCTGCACTCCCCTTCCTCCCCCTCTTTCCGTCCCCCCTGCCACTCTCCCTCACCCCTTCTCCCCCAGGTCCCCCCACCATTCAGGCTCCTTTGACGTCTCTGGTCCTGCCTGGGTGAATCGCGCGGAAGAAAAGCCTCTGTACCTTGGTTTTACCTGGCCGTCGCTACCTCCTTTAAGTCTTTGTTTAGGAAATTTGTATTAGTACCTGAGCACGTGTGGTGGGGGTAGAAATCCAGGTCGAGGTCTTTTATTAGTTGCGAATGGCACATGAATGGCATTTGCTCGTTTCTGTTACTTTTCAGGATATCCTAACTTCCCTGCTAAAAAAAAAAAAAAACCCAAAACAAATCTTAAACTGGTCAAAAATTTCTTCTCTGGGGCCATATTTGATAGTGAGCTGTGTGAGGCTGCCTTGCAGACTTGTACTATGTACAGCAGTGTTCTTAATTTTAGGTATTGCTAAAATTATACCTGAACAGTTTCTTGACCCAATTTATGTTGCTGGTTTTTTCTCTCTTCTAATTCTTATCAAATTCTTCCTGACATAGCCCATATCTTTCTTCTGCATCTACAGCAGCAGACCTCTGGTCTCAGTAGATATCCCTGACTTCAGATATTTAACTTTTGAAGGCTGACTGAAGCAGTTTGCTTTTAGGTTCCCTGTATAAGGAAGAAACATGCACCTAAGGAGTTCAGTTTGCTTCTCAAGTGCCTCTTTAGGATGGAAAGAGCAATATTTTGGAGATTACAGTTTCTATCATTGAATTGGAAAACTAAGACAATGCTAATCTCTCTATTTGGACAACTGAAGTTAGGGGACATGACCTAGAGAACTGGAGTTCCATACATGCAGAAGGCTGCCTTCCCTGATAGCCTTGTGCATTCTTGTATATTATTAAAAATATTTTTAGCATTTGAAGTAGTTGAATCACCATCCCTGGAGGTATTTAAAAGACATGTAAATATGTCACTTAGGGACATGGCTTAGTGGTGGATTTGGCAGTGTTAAGAGTTGGACTCTATGATCTTAGAGGTCTTTTTCAAATTAAATGATTCCGTGATTCCATAATTTACAATTTAGAGAAGAGGTCTGGTAAAGCAGATTCATGAGAATTATCTTCAATGCCAATACAGGTCAGACTTAGCACCTTCTGCAAACTCTGCTCTCCATGAGATATTGTGATTTGTATGTAGTTCAGAGGGGGCTAACACAGTAATAAAAAGAAGCAGCCACTTGGGTTGTAAATTAGAATTTACAGAAGGTCTGCAAAAAATATAATTGACTTGAGAGCGAAAAGAACAAAACCATATAGAGAACTGCCATGTTTCATGTGGATGAAACTCCCATCCAGTCCTACTCTCTCAGAGCCCACATATAGACATATATTCCGTGTCCACATATGTGGGCTCCGACATATGTGGACATACACATGATCTATTAGAAAGCCAAAAAGCTAAGGTTAGGTAAAGGACAGTCCTGTGTATTCACAGTGTCAGGGATGCTATTTTCTTTAGTCCTTATTTTTAAATACCATTTTTAAAAAATAGAAATTAAGAGTTCATATCTAAGAAGAGGTTTTAAGGTAGGATTAGTGCACTGTGAGTGAATGGAGTTGCTGTGAATTATTCAAGAGCGTGAGCCATGGCACTGGGACCTACTTCACAAGAAAACCTTTTTGCCCTTCTTCCCTGCCAATCTTAGTACTGCCTTTTTAGATCTCAACAATACTGGGATATATGAATTGGAATTAGCTGCTCTGGAATGGCTTCCCATGTGGAGGAGGGTCTATTGTGAAATACATGTGATTGTTTTCTTTTTCTTTTGTTCTTTCTACTTCTTTCAATTGCAGAACTATTACTTTTCTTTAGACGGACACAGTATTCCAAAATAGTATTCAGAAATAGTAACAGATTCTGTTACTATTCCTTTTGGGTGGCTGTTTTAGAGCAGCCACAATATCTACTGTGAGTTACTGTCTTTGTGTTGTCAAAAACTTGAGTCTTACTTACTTCACACGCCTGTACTCAAGAAGATGATGCATGCAGCAGCTGTTCAGTGCTCAAACCTGCAGAAAGCTGTGAGATGTTAACTTCCTGTAAAGTCTTCAGAGGTTGTAGATACTCAAACCAAAAAAGAGTGCTGAGCCTATATGTTAGGTTTTTTTACCCCCTGAAGGCTTATAATTTGGACAGATACACCCCTGATACAAACTCCCCTGCATCCCTGCCAGATTTCAGGTCTGTTTTAGAACAGAGCCGTTGAAAGCAAATGCTTCCAGATTTTGTTTGCACAGCCAAATTCTTTTTTATTGTGTTCAGAACCACCTAAACCAGTTGTCTCTCCTCCTTCCCCCCTTAATTTCAGTATGTAATAGGAACAAAATCCTCCAGCCCAGTCTCCAAGTAAAGTTTGGCAAAGCTGTCTCAGCTGAAGATAGCTACTTTATGAGGGTTTCTTAAGCCTCTGTATATAAGGCTTGCTGTTTGCACCACCTGTTTAAACACGAATAATATAGTAGCTTGTGAGGAGAAGAAGGTAGACAGTTTGGGGCCCTGGACTCTGGTACTGCTGGTGTTACTCTGCAGGTTACACTGTTGACAGAACCTGTCCCCTTGATGTGCTCCCAAACGTGGTTCCCATGCTGGAGTGTCCCAGTCACTGCAGCATAGGCTGCATGATCCTCATGGCTC